ACGGCGTAGGCTGCAGTGGGGCTGGCCGGCAGCGGGTATGAGCTGCCGTGAGCTGCCATGAGCGTCCGTCTAATGGCTGGCGAGCAACTGCCTCACCCGGGAAGAGAACAATGATAATACCAACATGGGCCAGTGAAGTGACATCCTCCACAACTAGACTGAAAAACAAAAGGACAGCAACTTGTCTGTTTCCCTCCCCCAATTCCCCAATGAAATTGTAAAAAAAAAAAAAGAAAGTTTAAGGATAGTAATTTTCATGTTGCATGTTGGTGCCTAGAGTCAACCACAAAGAAACACTGAAGACACATATCTTGCAAATGTTGTTTGTGTGTGTGTTTTTTAAATATAATTGGTGAAAGTGTTGGTTTTTTAAAAGCAGCAGTGTTTGGATTTTGTTTGATTTTTGTTTTTTTGGTTTGGGTTTTTGCTATTTCAGTCCATTCTTGACTAAAGCTTCTCTTTTATGGAAAATTGTCACACTAACTTAAAAGAAAGGTTGGGAGATATGTAAATTGCTAAAAAATAAATTAAATAAAAAATACTGAAATGTGGAGAAAAAAAAGATTAAAATAGTCATTTTTATGTGGTTTTTGCCACAATGAAAAAAATTATTTTTGCTAACTTAAATAATTTTTCCCTTCAAACCAAGCTGGTATATTAACAATACAACAAAAATAATGTCAGCAATGGATTAGGACATGCTGAATTAAGAAAACTGGAGGGGAAGGGAGAACTCTTCTATTCAGGTGAATGCCAACTAGTAAAAACAGCAGAAATGATAGAAGTAGCAAATCAGTTTTGTAATCACCTGTGTAATAACTGATTTTAGCATGGATCATTAAAATCACTAGAAGATAGCTGGAAAGCAGGCTATTCACAGTTGCACTACACAGATTACTTATTAATCACAATGGCAAAAAAAGATGACTGCAGCGAGAAATTTATGCAGAATTCTAAAATGGCCCCCCAAATTGTCCTGCCATAATACCTCAACTGTGAATATGATGAGATATTATGGCCATGATTACATTATGTTACATGGCAAATTGATTTTTACAGATGTAATCAAGGTTACTAATCAGTTCAATCAAAAAAGAGATTATGAACCCTTGACAAGCAAAGAGTTTTCTCTGGCTGGTGCTAGAGTGGAAGACAGAGAGAGCTGAAGTATGAGAAGGATTCAACACGCTGATTGCTGGTTGCTGGCTTGAACATGGAGGGATATTGTGAGGGAATGTGGATGCCTCTAGGAACAGTGATGCCTGGCTGACAGCCAGCTGGGAAACGGGGACCTACAGCCACAAGGCTTTTGTCAACAACCTGAATGGTTTGAAAAGAGATTCTTCCCCACAGCCTCCAGAAAAGAGCAAGCCTGGCCAATTTTGGCCTTGTGAAACCTTGAGTAGAGAACCCATTTGAGATTACCCAAGGCTTTTGACTTATAAAATTGTGATATAATAAATGGATGATGTTTCAAGTTGCTAAATTTGTGGTAATTTGTTACATAACAATATAAAACTAATACACCCAGTAATTAAAATTAACATCACTTGGGCCGGCGAAGTGGCGTGTTGGTTAAGAACTGGCTTGGGACGCCAGAGGGCCCC